GCAACAGCAGCAGCAGCAACAGCAGCAGCAGCAACAGCAGCAGCAGCAGCAGCAGCAGCAGCAGCAGCAGGCGGGCCAAACTATAATAATCAGCAGAAACAACTGAGGAAGCATCAACAGCAGCAACAGCAGCAACAACAGCAACAGCAGCAACAGCAGCAACAACACAAAAGCAGCAGCAAACGCAACAGTAGCAACAACAGCAGCAGCATCAATAGCAGCAGCAGATAGGAGGCCCCCTGAAGAAGGCAGCCGAGTAGGGGGCCCCCGTCTGCGGGCTTCCTGCAGCAGCAGTAGCTGCTGCACATCCTGCTGCTGCTGCTGCTGCTGCTGCTGCAGCTGCTGCTGTTGCTGCTGTTGCTGCTGCTGCTGCAGCAAGCGTAAACCCCCAAGGGGCCGCAGCAGCCGCTGGGGGGCGGCGGGGCCCACCACCTGGAGGAGGCGCGGCATCAGCAGCAGAGTCACCGCATCGGCCAAACCCTAAACCCTAAACCCTAAACCCTAAACCCCAAACCCTAAACCCTAAACCCTAAACCCTGAAATGTAAGCCCGAAAGAGATAAGGTTCAAGTCTGTAAGGATCGATGAAAGAAGAACGGAAGAGCCGTACGAAGGCACAGGGCCCTAAACCCTAAACCCTAAACCCTAAACCCTAAACCCTAAACCCTAAACCCTTGGTCTGTAGCCGCAGATTTCGGCAAATTTCAACAGAATAAATGAAATATTAATATTCAGAGAAGAAATAAAAACACAACGAGAAGTTGCTGCTGCTGTTTGCTGCTGCAGCAGCGTATATGGGGAGGGGCCCCCCTCCCTGGGGGCCCCTCATCATCTGCTGCAGCTGATACCCTAACCCCACCTTGTTAGGGTTTAGGGTTTAGGGTTTAGGGTTTAGGGTTTAGGGTTTTAGCTAGGCCCATTCGAGGCTCCTATTTATACGGGCCCTAACGCTACTTGTCTCCATCGAGACACTGCAGCAGCAGCAGCAGCAGCAGCAGCAGCAGCAGCAGCAGCAGCAGCAGCAACAACAGCAGCAGCAGCAGCAGCAGCAGCAGCAGCAGCAGCAGCAAACTGCTGCGTGCTGATATCGGTGTATTGTTATTCGCTTGAGACTATTCATAAGACTCAGGAGCGCCCTAACCCTAAACCCTAGACCCTAAACCCTAAACCCTAAACCCTAAACCCTAAACCCTAATCCTTATATATGGCGGGGGCTATCGATTCAAGGAGGGCTCTAGCTGTGAAAGGCCGAGGGTTTAGGGGTGTGTGGTGTGTTAGGGTTTAGGGTTTAGGGTTTAGGGTTTGCGTATGTAGAACAAAAGAGCAGCAGAAATAAAAAAACCTAAAGGAGACAGTGTACACAACGCAGCCACCAACTGTCTCCTCTCCCCTTGTGTCTCCCCTTTATAATTTACATATTCAGAATGCATTCAACTAGCTCCCATGGTTTGTTACTTGATCTAGC